AAAAAAAAAAAAAAAAAAAAAAAAAAAGAACTATACCTTTCTGGGGATAACAATACTTTTCAGGGTAAGGACTTAAAAAGATTGCATCCACCACAAGGCCCAAAATGAGTGCTTAGTGTTAATTGAATATTCATGTGTATATATCTAGTTCTTCAAATGTAGAAGTGAAGCGATCTTTTTGGCCTCTTAGTATGCAGTCCTTTCCCCAAGTACCAGTTACATCATTGTAGGTACAAATGGTCTGTTTCAGATGCCATTAATTCCTGTCGCACAGGAAGTTGTTTTTGAAAATGAGCCACACCGAGCTCAAACAACATGGATGCCACAGGAACCTGAGACATCATCTGGGTTAGTGTCTTACCCAGAGGTTCTGGGTGGCGTGTCTGGACCGCAGCCCAGAGGATAGGAGATTGCGAGTGGGTTTGGGAGCCAGCCTCCTTTCACGTTTAAACTTGCGAGGTGTGACAGAGATCATGTGAATGACCCTATGTCCGCCAGCAAAAACACGGTGGGCTAGGCTTTCCTTCCCTGTGAATTGAGACGGATCACACCAGGGCCCTAGTGAAACCCGATGCTCGGTCTGTGGAGATCAAGAAAAATGGTTATACCTTACTTCAATTGTTGAAATATGACTTATTTCCCAGGTGTCATTTCCAATTTTGTCAGTTACGTGTGTAAAGTTGCCACAGGAAGATACGGACCATCACTTGGTGCAGTAAGTATTTGTAATTTTATTAATTTATTTTGTTTGTTTTTTGAGACGGGGTCTCACTATGTACCCCTTGCTGGTCTCGAGCTCACAGTGATCCTCCTGCCTCAGCCTCCTGAGTGCTGGGTCACAGGCATGCACCACCACGGCCGGCTGTATTTGTACTTTTAAATTTATTTTGAAATAATTGTATACTTACTAAAAAGTTGCAGAATGAGTTTCCATGGGCCCTTCTCCCCAGCATTAACTAACATCTTAGAACCACAATATAATTATCAAAACCAGGAGATTAACACTAAAATCCTGCTGATCTTTATGAAACTAATTTTCAGGCTATAGCATGTACCATTGAACATTCGTGTATACTAACTGGTACACTGTTCAGGACAAGAGGAATAGGGCAGAACAGGGGGTGTCTAATCCCTGTAAACCCCAGTTAGATTGCAGTCTGGTGCTGTCTCCCGCGGACTCAGTATTTGACTGCCTGGGATAGATAAGACCGGTAGGCACTGTGCTGCCGCCTTTTTTTTTTTTTTTTTTTTTAAGCATGTTTTTTTTCAGTGGCATACTGCAGTTCAGACATGGAAATTGTTAATTTTTTTTAATGCATGCACCTTCAATCTGTGCGCATATAAATACTAATACATTTAAATATATTTGAATAGGAGATTTTAAAGGAACTCTAAAAAGGTTTAATTCTGGAAAAGAATGTCAAATCATCATCCCATAATTGGTGTATTCTTTAGATTTGTGTATAATTTTTCTAGTGAGGCCTACCTCTTGTGACCTATGTGCTTTTCTAATTCCTCCATTTTTTACTTTATGAAGTGTTCTCTGTGTTAAGATTTGGTTGTGGTATAATTTCTGTATTTCAAACTTTTCTCTATTTAGCAAATAAAAACCTTGTGTGAGGGAGCGAAGATCCCTAGAATGATTTGGAAGTGGACTTGGCCTTCAAGTTTAGTTTAGCTGAGGAGAAAACACACATCTGGGCGAGGGATTTAGCTCAGTGGTGCCTTACCTGCCTCATAATGCAAGGTCCCGAGTTCCCGCCCTGCTACTGGGGGAAAAGAGCAAGCACACACCTGCTGCACACCGAAAAGGGTGAGGAACTGCCGAGGACCTCGGGGTCCAGAGGAAGGAGATTGCTGGCTGACAGAAACAGGAGGGATAGGATGTGCCCTTGGGCAGCTGACCCTCCTGCGGATGAGAAGCCGCAGTCCGCCCGCGTGCAGCAGCATGGTGTCTGAGGTAGTTAGACCCACATAGCTGTGATTTTCAGGACTTAGTCCCCAGTGTCTCTGTGCCTGCTCTGCAGGTAATGTTCCCCGCAGTACGAGATCTGTGAGCATCTACCGGAAGTGAGGGATTTCACACAACTTATGTGTTGTTTCGGATCGGATCAGTAAATTACATTTGCTTCATTTTGGAAGAAATTTTAATTTTGTCTGTTTTTCCTCCTAGAAAGTAAGGTTTTAACTTGATTTCTTCTGGAAGTTGAATTGGACTTTTTTAGGTTTTGTTCAAAAATAACCCTAGGATATTAAAGTTGCATGCATGCCCTGGAGCCTAGAGGGTGATAAGCTGCTGGCCAGTCTGGCTTCCAGATCCCTGGTGACACCACAGTCCGTGCTGCTTACTGTGGACTGAGACTTGGGGTGGATCTTTCAGAGCAGAGGCAGACATGGCCAGTGGAGCATGCTGTACCCCAGGGGCACTGAGCTGGCAGGATCTATGGGAAGACGAGCAGACCACCTTCTGAGGTGCTTCTGGTAGCTGGAAAGTGGGCCGGCAGCCGGGAGTGATCGCGCTGTGAAGGGGACCAGATTTCAGAGGAAGCCCTTGCCGAGATTGCAAAGACGGTGGCTTGGCGAATCCACAGTAGCCTTGGGGCTTAAATGCAGAGTGCGGGATTCCACAGTCCTCCCCAGCCAGTCCCCGAGTGTGAGGCCGAGGTTGTTGATGGCCTAGTCTACTTTTTCAGCCTGGGCCTGCGTCATCTTAGCCCACTTACCTGAAGTCAGGCCGTGGACTCTGGTCCTTAGCGGGGTTTACGCTTCCTTCCGTTGTGGAGTTGCCCCGACCAAGACTAAGCTGGTTTCTGTTCTGGCCAGCAGCCAGCTGTGTATTTAGGGACTGTGGATGGCTGAGTTCTCCAGAATTCCTAATAATTTTCTCTAAGGTATTAGCATTTCCTGGAACATAAGATAACCCTATATTCTGAAGCAAACCCTTGACATAGAAGACCCTAAGAAAATAGTTGAGCTGAACATAGTGGTGCACACCTGTAATCGCATCACTCTGGCAGGCTGAGGCAGAAGGATTGCAAGTTCAGGCCCAGCCTAAGCAATTTACCGAGACCCAGCCCCAAAATTTTAAAAAGGGCTGGAGACGTAGCTCAGTGCAAAGGTCCTGGGTTCGATTCCCAATACCAGTACCAAGGAGGAAAAAAGTTGATGATTGACAGTAGATGGTGGGCCAGGGATTTTGCTCAGCGATCCACTGCCTGCCTTGCAAGTGCAAGGAAGGACCTGAGTTCAATCCTTGGTACAAAAAAATAAATAAAAACTAGATGGGGCTGGGGATTTTAGCTCAATGGTTCCGCCACCCGCCTCACTAGTGCAAGGACCTGTGTTCAATTCCCGGCACACACACACAAAAAATGATGTTTTATAAAAATAACATTTTAGCCAGGCATGGTGGCGCACGCCTGTAATCCCAGCACTCGGGACGCTGAGGCAGGAGGATTGCTGTGAGTTTGAGACCAGCCTGGGCTACACAGTGAGTTCCAGGTCAGTCTTGGCTACATAGTGAGACCGACCCTGTCTCAAAAAAAAAGTTTTTTAAAAAAATATGAAAATGTAAGGACTTTTTAATTATAAGGGTTCCTTTGTTGTTGTTGCTGTGGTGCTGGAGAGTAAACACAGGGCCTTTACTGAGCTACATCCTCAGCCTTTTTCCTTTTCTCTTCTGTTTTTTTTTTTTTTTTTTTTTTGAGACAGGGTCCCACTAAGTTGCCCAGGCCGGGCCCCAACTCACAGTCTTCCAGCTGCAGCCTCCCAGAGAGCTGGGATTACAGGTACCACAGTGCCTAAGGGCTGCTCTTAAAAGTCATTTCTCTTTTGTTTTAACATACAATTTATAAATATTTTAAAACTTACAGAAAAGTTGCAGGAAGCTAGGCACTGCTGGTGTCTTGTAATCGATCCCAGCACTTGGGAGGCCGAAGCAGGAGGATTGTTGCAAGTTTGAGGCCAGCCTGAGTTAGATAGCAAGACCCTGTCTCCAAAAACAAAGTTGCAGGAAATGCTGTGAAGAAGTAACTCCTGTTTTTGAGGCGCTCGCATACCTAAGGGCACATATTTAAAATTTATAATTGGTAAGCTTGACAGTGGATACCCATAAAACCACAGCCCCTCAGGATCATAAACGTGTCCATTTTCTGCAGAAGTTCTCTAGTCGTCTTCTGTAGCCCCTCCTGCCACCCTTGAGCAACAGCTTCCTGCTCTGTCAAGAGCCAGGTTTGTGAACGCAGCTGTGGGGCGCTGCTCATCCCGTGGTGGTGACCCTGGGTCGGTGTCCTGCGGTCATCCCGGTCGTGTGTGTCAGTAATCCCTCCTAGGGCTGCTGGAGAGTTTGAGGCCAGCTTGGCAGCTTAGTGAGAGTCCATCTCCAACATAATTATTTTCTTTTGCCTTGATGAATAATACTCCACTCTACAGCTGTGCACTATTCACTTGATGAACGCATAAGCTTTTGGCCATTAAAACTGAACATTTATCTTTCAAAGAATGTAAGTTTTTAATTTGTAAAGTCTTTGTGAGTCATGCACATATTGTGAGGAAATTTTTGTCTAAACCAGGGTCAAAGATTTTTCTTTTTTTATTTTAGCTTTTACATTTAAGTCTGTTTCACTTAAAAAGAACTCCAAAATATTCACTAATTTTAAACATTTTGCCACATTTCACTTATTTTTTATCCACGCGGCCCCCCCGACCCATAACCAGAAATTGAACTCGGGACCTTGCTCTTGCTGGACAGGTCTGGCGGCCCGGTGCCACTGAGCCCCATCCCTGGCCCTACCTATGCTTACTTTTTCTGAACCATGGGGTAGGTTGCTCACATCAGGCCCCTTGACTCCTGTGAACGTGGGCGTGTATTTCCTAAGAACACAAATACCTTTACGAAGCACCCGGTACAGTGCGGTTGTACGGTGCCCTAGGATTGGTAAATACTGACCGAGTTAACCTTCGGATCAGTCTTCCTGGCCCCGGCCCATCTTCCAGTCGTCCAAGTTCCCGTGCCCTTGTAGCCACCCACCGCCTAGGAGCCTGTGTCGCAGGTAGGTGGCCTCTGGGCGCCTCAGAGCCGGAACATCTCCGGCCTTTGGTCTGCCCTGCCTGTCTCCTGTGGACCCAGGTTCGCTGTCCTGGGTGCGGCTGTCACGGAGCCCAGGAGGGAAGTCAGGTCTCTGGCGCATGATTAAGGTAGTGTCCAGCTTCTCTACCATTAATGAGGAGAGGATGCTTTGGGGTCACGTCGGTCCCACGTTCTCCACCCCTCTCCCGGGAGGCCCACTGCACGGCTTGACCGTCCAGTGCCTTCCGTCCCCGCGGCCAGCTGGGGTCCCCGGTGCTTCCGTGACGTCGTCCTCCGTTCCAGGGTGCTACACCGCCTCTGACTGTCGTGCTTGTAGTCTCCGGTCTGTGACGGTTTCTGTCCTGACCTTGGATGCTTTGAAAAAGGGCAGGAGCGCGTTTTGTGGGACGCCGTCTCCAAGTCTCACTGTTTAGCAGGTGGCGGTTTGTCTGGTTGCCGCTCCGCACTGCCTCCCTCTCCCGTCTTCGTCTTCGGGTGGCTCCTGCTCCCGCTGCTCTCACCTGGCCCCGTCCGTCCCCTCCTGTGCGCTTGCTTCAGAGGAAAAACGTGTGCAGCCGCCTGCAGCGCCGATCAGGGGCCCCTTCCCGCACCCCGACTTCCCCCGAGGGTGTGAGGAAAACGTTCAGTCCCCAAGTCGCGCACCCATTTCGGTGGGGTCTCCGGAGAGTCGGGGTGAAGCGCGCGGGCCTCACCTGCCGGTTCCCCGCAGTCGGGCGCCATCATGACCGTGCTGGCCGCCGTGTGCACCA